AGAATAACAAAAAATATTTTACTAAAACATAAGATTTACAGAAGTTTCCAGACAAGCCATACAAAATGGTCACAAGCTTTTTTTGAAGGGGGGAATTTACACTTGACAGCAAAGTCACAATGTTATAGTGAGGGCTGTGATGTTTGTTAATGTTCCCATTTTGGTTCAATCAGCTTGTCCATCTATATCATCTAAATAAAGTTAGACTTGGCTAGAGAGCGTGTTCTAGAGAATTGGTTAGCTGCTTTTTAACCAATGCAATTAGATCACCATAAAAGGGGGGAAAAGGAATCCATAAAATGTTGAAACTGCTTTTCCCCTCAAAAAATAAAATAAAGAATACCCATGCCCCTGCAGCTAACCCTGACAACTACCTTCATTCCCAGTGCTTTATACTTAAACCATGATGGGGGAAATGAATAGAAGCAGAAGGCCACTGCTTTTCAACATTTCACGACAAGCTCGATGATACTTTTAGCCTCTGCTCATGCTTTACAACAGTGAATCAGGACAAGACATAGATTTTCTAATGTGCCTTTAATCACCAAAGGACTGAAAATGTCCGGGCTTTTATTCTGTAATGTTTCTAAGACCGTGCCCATTAAATGCAAACAAAAAAGGAAGATGTCTTAGCAGAACAGGAGAAGTGACACAAACTTGATGATCAGATCGACTTAAATATTATTCGTGGCATATAGCCTAGTCCATGCTCTAGCTGTTTCTATGGCTTGGGCTTCATTGGTCTTCCACTGCTCCGCTACATAGTTTGCTAATGGGTCATCTGGATTAGGAGCACTTAACAAAGCCTGGATCGAGAGCAGAACCATGCAGATCTGCAGTGCCGAGGACCATTTATCTTTCAAAATATCTAAACATATTCTTCCCAACTTGTCTACATTAGGATGATAAATTTTGGTCATGAAACGTACTTTAGGTGCTGCCATTGGGTATTCTTCTGGAAGAAATAGTTCAAGTTTAAAAGTCCCTCCCTCAAAGGGGGAATCCTCGGGGCCAGCAATGACCACATGAAAATAACGAGGGTTGCTCTCATCTGGTTCCCCTTTAATGGCAGGAACTGGTTCTCCCAGCAAATGCTGAGTTTCCTTGATGATTCTGCGGGGCAGCCCAGCCATCTTGTCAGATCCTGTCTTCGGCCTCTGGTCGAGTCCCCAATAAGACATTTTAAAAAATTAAATTTAAAAAAGACATTGAGTGTGTACTTAGGTGTAGGACCCACTCTGTTCTCCACTTTGATTTTTTTGTTTTTGCTTTTCTCTATGCCTGGAGATTTGGCCCTCTGGTGGCCTCCATCTCCCAAGCCCTTCTGCCACCTCGACTCCAGATGGGGCAGCACTTAATGCTCATTAATGCATTTACCAGGCAAGGACAGGCTTCATACTCAGTAGTAAGGGTGATGGTGCTGCTCATGAACATGACCAAGCTGTCCCATCTAGAACCCCTACCGAGCCCCTGCTGAGAAATACTGATCAGCAGACTCTCTGCAACTCCAGTGAATATTCCAGCAGCTAATCCCACTGATCTTGACAAGTTGATTCTAAATGTAGCTGGGTGTGGTGGCACAGGCCTGTAATCCCAGCACTCCAGGAGTCTGAGGCAGGAGGATCGCCAAGAGTTCAAGGCCAGCCTGGGCTACATAGTGAGTTCAAGGCCACCCTGGACTACATAGCAAGATCCTGTCTCAAAAAAAAGGTGGGGAGGGGATTCTAAAATCTGTTACTCAAGGAAAGACAAGCAGATCTGTGGAAGAGTATAGAAGGCCTAGAAACAAATCCACCCAGATATGTAAAGTATAATCAGAACTGCTGGGATCTGTCAGATCAGAAAGTGATGGATTGATTAATAAAAGTTTCCAGAACAACTGGGAACACATGCATGCACCTCCCCCCAACACACATACACACACACACACACACACACATATATATGGATTCCTGAGTCTCCACTCAAAAATTCATTCTAGGCATAGTAATGTTATTATAAAGCACAAAGACTTAAATTTTTTAGCAAACGTAGGATCGTATCTTTATAACCAAAAGTAGGCAAAATATTTCAAAAGAAAAAAAATAAAAATCAAGTAACAGGGCCAAGGATTTAGCTCAGTGGTGCTGCTGCCTGCCTCGAAAGTACAAGGTCCAGAGTTCGATCCCTGGTACCAAAAAAAAAAAAAAAATCAAGTAACAAGCTGGGAGAAATATTTGTAACATGAATCACTACAACATATTAATATCCAAAACATATTAAGTATAAGAACTCAATTAAAAAAAGATAAAAATCCAATGGACTAAAAAATTAAAGGTGTAAAATATATAGAG